TAGGTTGCAAGTGGGCGGTTCTCAGCGCCGTTGGAACCGCCGAGAATAGAATAAAGGTCGTCCTTGCCAGACGATGAAAGCACAGAGTGGCGAGTGGAAAAGCTCGGAGACGTGTCGGCCATGTTGTCAGCAAACTTTCGTCCTCCCTCTTAAATATAAATGTATACGCGCGAGTCGCCGCGATAAAGCGCCTCCTCCCATGACTTTCTGCCAGGGTATGCTACGCATTATCTCGCCTCTGTGTATGGTGTTTATTGCGAGGCCATAAAAAATGACCGAGAACGAGAAAAATAATAAATAAGGAACGCTCGTGAATATTATGAAATTTCCTTTCTCCTTGAAATTTCTACTGAAGGAATATCGAAACTAAAGGAATGATAATCTATAGCGATGGAAATCGTATACAGTGATTCTTTCGATAAATGAAAGTAATCGAGAACGAGGGAAAAAAAAAAGAAAAAAGTAAAGGAATTTGTTCGTGAAAAATATGAAAGTTTGTTACTTTTTGAAATTCCTACGAAATTAAAGAAAGATGGCAATTTTATAATTTCGTTCGAAAGGAATTTTAGATGTTTTTCAAAGATTTTTACAAATTATTTTTCGATATTCTGTTTATTATAATTATTTTGTTATTTCTCTTAATTTTTAAACAATTTTGAAATCTCGTTTTCGTAGGAATTTCTGGAAACGTCCAGGGTAGATTCACGCGTGCCCTCGAGGTCTTTATCTCCCTTTATCGCGAAACAGTTTTGCCCAATCGGCACGGGCAACACGCGCCACGAAATAATTGCAGTCATTCCGAACCATTCACTTTATTGGTCAAGATAATCTCATCGCCCTACTTCCACGTCCTATCCATTTGTCGTTCTACGTGACGTTTATTTAACTTCGTAAAAAAAAGTATTGCCCATTGGGAAGATCCGACTGAGACTCAATTCTCACAAAAATAACTGTCACAAAAATAATTTCCTCTTCTATGCAAAACTTTTTAACGATCCTTACTTCGCACATCTTAGAAGGATACAAAGATTCCTCGATTTTTAAACGATAAAAATGACAAAGAATTTAAAATGGTATAAAAATAAAAGAATAAATACAGATTTTTATCAAAAATTTCTCCAAGGTTCAACATTCACCATTTTTTACCACACTTCGATTAATCACAAAAAAGTTGCTTCTAATTTTAATCAAGAAAGACAAGCGACAATTGAGGAAGAAAGAAAAAAAAACAAAAGAGGAATATTTTGTTGTTAGCGCATAGTTTCATCGAGAACGATGGAACAGAAGCAGTAGAAGCATCCGAGTACGTTCGGGCAAACAGCACAATTCATGGGAACGTCGACGATCGAGGTTCGAAGCACACGCGTACACGTATGGTGGCAGTTCGCCGCGAGTCGGCCGGCGATATTTCACCGAGGCAAATCGGGTGAAATGGTTCAGAAAGGATCGAATCATCCGCGTTTTGGTCGAGCAATCCGAGCACACCCCACTGTTGCCCGTCTCTTTATCTTTTTCCATCCACGTCCCCTTTCCCCGATTACTCCGCATTCTATCTCGCGCACAGGTGTTTATCCGACCGTACACCCGACACTATTTTCCCCCTTTCTTCCCTCTCGATTCCTCGCACGATCATCCCCAGATTTATATCTCATCGGGAGAGGAAGCAAGTTCTGCTTCCGTTTATAGGGCACACGGACGGAGTCGTTTCAACGCGATACGATTTACCATTATATACTTGGATTCGTATGTTCCTTATTATATAATCCCGATACTTATCACTCGAGGAAGGTAAATAAATTTATAATAAAACGCGTTTTTCATTAAACTCGTCGATCACCAACCGTTCACACCCGTGAATTGGAATCAAGAGAGAAGCAAGATTATCGGCGGAACACGATTATTATCGCGGTATTGTTTGTCGAAAAGTGAAATGAAAGCAACGTTTTTCGCCTACTTACAGGTGGATCGCGCGATCAGCAGAGGCACAGTGTCTCACTCTCCCTTCCGAGAAATGTCTCTCCCTCTCTCTCTCCCTCGCTCTTTGTCTCTCTCTCTCTCTCTTTCTTCTTCCCGTCAAACTCGTGGCAATGCGTGGTCGTTCAATCACACAGGTTGATCGGTCTTATCCAGTCCAAGGGTTGCAATCCTCGTTCGTTTCCACGAGGTCGACGTGCGTCATTATTGCATGCGTGTCGTGGATGATGGGTTGGTACGCGTACTCGCGCGGAAATCGCCGTGGAAATCCTCGGCCGTGGATAACCTCGCCGTCGGTCGTACGTAACGATCCCCGCTCATGCCGTGAGAATCTCTCGCGGCCACTTGTCTTGGGTAGCCGCCAGGAGCCGCGGGNGGAGAGAAGGAGAGGCCAGGCGTTACGTAGGAGGAGGTGAAGATGGAGTAGGAGGAAGAAGGTGGTGGATAGTGGTGGTGGCGGGTTGGAGGTGGCGGTGATTCCAACCTCGTGGAGAAAGGGGGATGAGGAGAGTTGCAGGAGGTAACGCGAGGGAGAGGGCGGAGGTATTCTGCCCCACCCGTACTCGCCTCTGATTGGACCACCCCCGCTTCGTTTACCCCGGCCATCCCTCTCCTCCTCCTCCTCCTCCTCCTCCTCCGTCTCTTGCACCTCTTCCTCTCCTCCTTCTCCTTCTCCTCTTACTGCCGCCACTGCTCCTCGTCATCCACCTCATCCGCCTCCTCCTCTGTACCCGCCACCTCAACCTCCTTCTCTTCTATCGGGCTACCTTCTACCCGCTCTCTTCTCTTCTTCTTCTTCTGGTTCGCGCCACCTAGCTCTGTCCGACTCCGCGCGTAAGAACGCCCGCCTCTTTTTCCAATGCACCGGAAAACAGGTGCGGAAGCCGGTCGTGGGGATTCCAGGATTTCTACTGGTTCTCCGGGAGAACCATCGCCGGCTTGGATCCCCCGGCCTTTATTCCCANAGGCGTCGCGGAACACCCTTCGCCCCGTTGCATTTTGAAAATTCTCTATAACGAAAGAGAGGAACCGTAGACGGGCGACGCGCGGGTGGTGCACGCTCGATAGGCGTTTAGCCGCTCTCCAATCTCTCCGTTCGCGTTACCCGTGTATTGCGACGCTTCGGTAAACTGCCTCCGGAATCCTGTCCCTCTCTCTCTTTCTCTGTCTTCCCTTCTCTCTTTTTCTTTCATCCTCGTGTCTTTTTATTTCGTCTCAGCCTTCTTTTGTCGTTTCTCGTCTTTACGATCGTTTACTTTTCCCGATGATCGATAAAAACGGCTCCTCGAGTGGATGTCGCCGAGTTCTTTCCCAGTTTGAATTATTTTTTTAGAAATGGTTCGCCAATTTTTGCGGTGCTTGAAAAAAACGCTTGATCGTTACAGGAGTCAGAGAGAATTTTTCTCGTGACATTAAAATCGGGATATTTTTCTCGCGTGTACACGTTATTTCACTTCCTTCCATTTCGAGCCTCGATATTCGACCTCGTACTTCGACTCTGATCGTAATTCAAATCGTAACCAATTTCCCAATTTCGATATACAATATGAACGTAGAAACGAGAACGTAACGCTTGACGTAACGTCACCTGTTCTCCATCGGACATTCCCTCCCCCTTCCACCTTGGTGAACGCGGTGATCGTATTCCGAGCGGAATAAACGATTCGCACGTTTCGACTATAAATTACGGCGCATTTACGACGAACGGTGGAAAGGCATCCGGGACAGGAGACGGACAGGGAGAGGATGCCTTAAGGCGACGGCATTTCGATAATTGGAAACCAATGAGGCGGCAGTGGGAGGGTTTCCAAGCTAAAAATCAACCCTTCCGCCCTAGCTTCGGGCCCTAATGAAGCGAACCTTCGCCGTTGCCAGCCGACGTGCATGCCTCCGCGTCGTATTAATTGCCTGGCCCCCTCGACTTCTCGTCCCTCGCCGTCCCTCGTCTCGCCCCCACCCATATTTAAACCACCCCTTGACTCGCGCCCCGCCGTTTCGCTCCCCTTCCACCTCTTCTTACGTCCCGCGCCCGCCGCGTCTCGCAGTTAGCCGCGATATCGCATTCTTCGACAAATTGGATCACGCTATCGTGCGAACGACCGATGGTTACAGCGGCTAATACACGAGCGGCGCGATGGCGGTTGCTCGAAGGGAGGACGGAGGATGAGTCTTCGGAGAGGAATCTTTTACGAGGATACGAGTTTTCGATGGCCGTGTTTTCGAGAAGAAAATTTGGTCCCCTTCTTGGGGGGAGTTTTCCAACGTTTTGGGACGATATTTTTTGAAGATTTCTCTTTGGAGAGAAGGTGTACGAGGTATATATAGATTTTTCAGAGAAATGATACATTCGTTCGAATATTTTAAGATACAAGGTATAAAATTAAAGGATAGCTCTCGTCGTGGGAATTTCATTGTTTATGATTCGTTCGAGTGAATCAATAACGTAGAAGAAAGTAATGGAAAAATGTATAAATTAGTTGACAGGTAGATGAAACGATCTTTGTTGTGTATGCACTTATTTCAACCATCATAAAAGCTATCAATCATTCGGACAGAAACTTCCTTAATAGCATTTGTCAAACTATATTTTAATTATATTTCAGTCACATTCTATTAATTATTGATAACATATTGAAATATTAATTTGAAAAGAAAAATGAATTCTATAATATTAAATATTAAATTTAAGACACTGAAGAAAATGATTAAACGATTAATCATAACGTTAATAAATTGAACGATTAGAGAAAATATTTAATATATCGTTTAGAGAACTATTGCTTTAAATCTTATGGTTTTGAAAAATATCGGGCGATGCTTCTTGGACTTTGCCTTTAAGGTTGTGCGAGGTTAGGGCCATTCTGAACGTAATTCCGTTAGGTAGGCCTCGAATCGATATAATCAACGAATACGCAGGGGGTGAGTTTTCACCCGCCACTGCTTCCTTCACTACGATTCTTCCTCCTAAATTCAACCCCCTGCTCTGCAATCTTCGGACGCTCTCCAGGCCGACCCTTATTCCTCGGAAGGGTGCGCTACTCGATTCGAACTTATCCGACGGTTTGAGCCCGTGTCATCGAGAGGAAATCTATCTTTGGAATCAGATTGCCAAATATTTCTCAAACCCGCGAATCATTGCTTGGAAATTGAATAATTTCAAAATAAAATCCGATAAATTGATAAGACTATAATAAAATTAATCCTCGAATAATATTGAATAACAATTAATAAAATACAATGCTAAATTAACCGAAGATTCACGATGTTAAAAGATCAAAACGAAAATCAACTTCAAATGCAGTGTTCGCAAAAACTGCATTCCATTTCGCACCCTCCATATCCAAAAAGAGAAGCAAACACTTACATCTCGAATCTGCGAATTCCATGTCACGAAACACGAACTTCTGTCCCAGGCATGTCCATCTTGACTCAATTTTTCAACTGAACTCGAACCAGCACATCAGAATAAAAACAATCGGATTAAAAAAAAAAAAAAAAAAAGGAACGAACACAAGAAGCTCAAAGCACAGTCCCAACCGTGGTTGAAACCGGTTAGTTCATCGACACGAGCGTGCACCGTCGGCGACATGGAACGTCGAACCCGTTCCACGGAAGGATCGGAACAGAAAAATGAGATACGACAAGTGTTCGGTACTTTCGATGACGAAGCCAAGACGGCGGAATGAACATGGGCGCGAGATGTGGCACACCCCGAGACCTAGACACTACTGAACCAGCCCCATGGCAAACCTTGTTAACGGCAGTCGACAACCAAGTTTAAACTTCGGGTAACAATTCCCCTACCAGCTAACTCTCTCATTCTCTCACCCTCTCTCTCTCTCTCGGTTTCTCTCCTCGCGTGCTCTCCCCCTCCCTCCCTGGAACCATCTCTCCCTCCCCCCCTTTTGTCTCTCGTTCACAGCGACGGAAGGTGATAGAAGAATTCTTAAGAAGCTGGTGTAATTAATCATCCCTCGTTCGAACCTACCTACCTACCTACCTATCTACGAGCAACGAGGCCGAGGGTAAAGTTGGTTGTGGGTGTCGAGAAAAGTTGTTTCGCGAAGAATCGATCGGTGGATGGTTTGGAAAAAAAATTTTTTTAAAACGCGCGAGAGTGTACATATAATTTAGGAAAAGAAGTTATCGTGGTATATCCTTTCTAACGGAATTTAATTAAATCCGGTGTTTTCCAAATTAAGCATTTATTCGACTCTCGATTATTGATCACTTAGATAAACTGTACATGTAATTGGAGATTATACTATTTATGTTTCTAATTTCTTATAAATATTTGCAACACGTGTTGTGCGTATGTGTGTATAATTATATCAATACACAATAATAATCCGTTTTAAAATATGAAAGAACCAACGTGCGAATATAAAATAGCACAAGAATCGTCAATTAAGAATCCACAATAACTATATAATTCTCACGAAACACCGATTTCAAACAGAAAATCCTGCTACTCTCGAACAGCAAATCGAAAATATAACTTATCTCCAATAAACGTATCCTCTCGTGCGAACTATCCCCTCGTCGCATCGCACCACCTCGAGCAAATTCGAAGAGAATCGGTAACAGAGCACGAGCTTTCTGAGCAAGAAACTCTTGAGGCAAAAGAAGTCCTCCTCTCTTGTACTTGGCCTTGATCGGCCCTCCTCTGTCTTTGGAAACCGGGGCGAAACGCGCCAGCTGTCGTTAACCCCGTATCACGGTGATCCTTCGTGGCCGAAAACGCGGCGGGCACGGTGAGAGTGAGGGAGAGAAAGAGAGCGAGAGTGAACGTAGGAAACGGGGGCTTCCTACCAAGTTCACCGCAACCTTCTCGAGCGGCGCGTTCGGTGCGAAACTTGGTAGCCGCGTAACAAGAAAGAAGTAACTATCGTTGAAGCGGACTAGTTTGTTCAATGGCACGAGCCGTGGCGGCGGGAGGGGGCGAGAGAGTGAGAGAGAGTGAGAGAGAGAGTGAGAGAGAGAGAGGAGAAGGTGAGTCGAAGTTCTTCGCAAGAACAAGAACAAAGTTCGAGACCAAAGCACCCCCTCGCCCTTCGCTTCTGTTCCTCTCCTGTGGCCCCCTACCATCCTCGGGTCCCCCT